TGTGAACCAATGTAATAGTTTCATCTCTGTTGATTCATTGCTGAGTTGGCTTCCTTGTCTAATGTGGAAGCTGATATGTGCTAGTTTTGGTTTCTATGAATTCTCTTCTTCTTTGATCTTTATTTAAGCAATTATTGTTCTTTCTTGTTTTCTATGTATTGTAGAGCCAATGATAAAAAAACAAGAGCTCATCAATAAATACATACACAAAACCAAAACATAGAGAAAAATTACTATTTTAAGTGCAGCAGTTGTCTTGTAAAGGAGCTTTTAATCTCAATTTGGCCTTAAAAGGTCAAGAACTCAGTTTTAAAATTTTAGGACTAATTTCCAAGAAACTCCAAAAGTTGAGGACTGAACTAGTATGTTCCCGAAAGGAAGCCAATAATGTAACAACTCCATAAGACTTTGTCAACCTAAGATAGCAACATCCCTGTGATCATCTCCACCGCACCGTCCTTCCCGAGCTCAATCACTACTGTAATTGTAATTTTATCCCAACAACCAGCCTCCATCACCAACGGAGAATGGAGACGCCATTGCTGGACAGCACGTCGTCTTCCAGCAACGTAGACTACCAACCAGTGGTGAGCTTCGAGGATGCCAAGTCAGTGTTCTGGTTAGAGACGGTTAAACTGTGGAAGATTGCAGCTCCAATTGTGTTCCAACTGGTGTGTGCGTACGGCGTAATGTCCATCACTAGCATATTCGTCGGACACATCAGCGAGATTGAGCTCTCTGGAGTCTCCGTTGCACTCTCCGTTATTTTTACCTTTTCTTTTGGGTTCATGGTCAGTTCTTCATTACTCTTTTGGGTCCATCATGTGTTTGCATTTACGTGTCTAAGATCGTTTTCGTGTTGTTTTCTCGTAGTGGGTTTTTGTTGGATTTCACGTCTTTGTCATTGGTAATTGGGTATAATTAAATCCCCTGTTAGGATGATTGTTTTCCCGGAGAATGTGCTAACATTGTAGCAATATTAAAGCAAAAGGAGACTTAGTTTGTTGTCAAAATTGCAGCTTGGCATGGGGAGTGCACTTGAGACACTATGCGGTCAGGCTTATGGTGCTCGGCAAGTGTATTTGCTGGGGGTTTATATGCAAAGGTCTTGGATTATTCTGTGGGTTTCATGTTTCTTCCTATTGCCGATTTACATTTTTGCCACACCAATTTTGAAGCTTCTTGGGCAGGAAGATGAAATAGCTGACATTGCTGGAAAGTTCGCTATACTAATCATTCCTCAATTGTTTGCACTTGCCACTAGTTTCCCCACCCAGAAGTTCCTTCAGGCTCAAAGCAAGGTCAGAGTGCTTGCTTGGATTGGGTTTGTGAGTCTGATTATACATGTTGCATGGCTTTGCCTCTTCATTTACGTGTTTGATTGGGGTACAACTGGTGCAGCCATAGCGTTTAATTTAACATACTGGGAGATCGCCATCGCACAGGTTATCTATGTTATTGTTTGGAGCAGAGATGGGTGGCATGGATTGTCATGGGCTGCATTCAAGGATATATGGGCTTTTGTCAGGCTTTCCATTGCCTCAGCTGTGATGCTTTGCCTAGAAGTTTGGTATATGATGAGTATAATCATTGTCACTGGCCATCTTAACGATGCCGTGACTGCTGTTGCTTCCCTGTCTATTTGGTGAGTTCAAAAGGATTTATGATACCTTTATCAGGCGAATCGCATATTTCTGCCTTAGAATTCAACAATTCAAGGGCAACTTTGAGTTGGTTGAAATTTTAGTTTGAGAACAAAAATTTTTAGTTTACTCAGAGCATTTTACTTTATGTCGACATATTAAGTACTAGTGGTGTCATCTTACATTCTTTGCATTGCTGCATTAACATTATTTGCATTACTCATTCCTCTGTTAATATGTGCTAGTCTGAACCTCAATGGTTGCGAAGGTATATTGTTCATTGGACTAAATGCTGCAATAAGGTAAATCTCTGCTACAACCATTCACTGTTCTCTGGTATATGAATACATATTCAACTCTGTATTGTTATAACCATCAGATTTTCTGTATACATATGAGGAACTTTCTTTTAATGTTATAGTCTCCGTTGAAAATTTATATGCTGTGTTTGCCCTAACATGCCTCTGCACTTATTCCTTTCTAACCAATTCACGTGTTCTTTCTTAGCGTTCGGGTTTCAAATGAGCTTGGAATGGGACGCCCAAGGGCAGCCAAGTACTCTGTTTATGTCACAGTGTTTCAGTCTCTCCTCATTGGGCTTTTTTCCATGGTTGTTGTAATTCTAGCCAGGGACTACTTTGCCGTTATTTTCACAAGCAGCAAAGAGCTGCAGCGAGCAGTCTCCAAGCTGGCCTATCTCCTTGGTATTACCATGGTTCTCAACAGTGTCCAGCCCGTTATATCAGGTATCGGTTTCATTACTATATGGAATTCACAGCATCATTCCTGGTACCACTGCTCTTTTTTACTTTTCTTGCATCATTCTCATATTGTAGGTGTTGCTGTTGGGGGTGGATGGCAAGCATTGGTAGCTTATATTAACTTAGGTTGTTACTACGCTTTCGGTCTTCCTCTTGGTGTCCTCCTTGGTTACACGGCACACTTGGGAGTGATGGTATGTCATTTATGTCTGTTCCTCTACTAGTAATTAACACAAAGCTTCTGTTCCCCTTTATGATTTTGAGTAGCCTAGTGAAGTTTTCATATCAAATTCTCCTCCTAACCTGAGATCAAAATACACTCATACAATATTCTGCATTACCTTCTTTTGTTCATCACTGATTCATGGCTTTTGTTTCTGGTATTCTTGTAGGGAGTTTGGGGGGGCATGATATGTGGAACTGCCTTGCAGACATTGCTACTGTTGTGTGTTCTTTATAGAACGAACTGGAACAAGGAGGCAAGTCAGATGTCTCTTTTCATAATTTATCAATCACTACTCAAGATCCTTTTGAATGTAACTTGGATACAATCGCACACAATTTGAGACAATAAAACTTGATAAAAAACACATTTTAAAAATCTGTTGTCCAATCACCAGGTCATTTTCTTATTTAGCTGGGTCACTAGAGGAAGTACAAAACGAAAGGGCATATCAATACTGTCTAAGCCTCTTTTATTAGGCTCCTAGTCACTACTCAATGGACTTGCATTATACAAACGTTTCCAATCCCTAATGAATGGTTCCTTTATCTTTTTGACCAAGCAGCATGCATAATAATCCTTGTTGATTTGCAGGTGGAGCAAACCACAGAGCGGATGAGGAAGTGGGGTGGCCAAGACTTGAATAAAAATGAAGATGGGAAGATAGCTGATAACATCTGAGATTTTAGTTGTTAGAAGAGGAAGCTAAACTTTGATAATTTAGCATTCTCCACATAATCTATCTTCTTTCTACCTAATTTCTTCAGTAGGGATCAAATCAGGCTGGCACTTGTTAGATGCAGCCCTTTAATTAGAGATGAAATAATAGTAGACATTTATGGTAGTTAAAGCTTTATCTCCATGCATGAATCGTGGGATGTATGCAATTAGAGTTCATTCAATGCTTACTGCTCTTTAACATAGTAGATTACTAGGTTCCATTGTGCTAGACTTCTTCTCCATGATCTATAATGCACATCTTTGCATGGTAATACCGTTGGGTTGCATTTAAACTTTATCCATGGAAAATGTTATTCTGATAACCATATTCATAAACTCAAATATAATTATATAAAGTTAAAATTTCCAATTCTATAGGTTTTTAGCAGCTACACCTACTTTGGGTGAAACCTCAGAGGACTTTTTTTTTTGAGCATTGCACGATGGTGATGGTGTGGAATGGATGTTTGCTAGCGTTTTATTGTTTGATGACAACAAATTGATATTCTCGAAGAAGCCAATGTCAACAAGTCAGGATGGCCGAGTGGTCTAAGGCGCCAGACTCAAGTTCTGGTCCTCGTGAGAGGGCGTGGGTTCAAATCCCACTTCTGACAATTTTTCATTGTTTATACACACCACTTGGCTTTGGTTTATTTTGAATAGGTGTATGGATCCCTATGGGCTGTATTAATATGTAATGGGTCAATATTGGGTTATTGTGAGTCACGGGCTTAGGGGTCAAAAGAAGCTACTCTACTCATGATCCACCTTCATGGGCAAAGGGTTGGCCCTTGATTTTTTTAATTTAATTTTTAATTTTATAAATTCATATTTTAATTCCAAATTAATGACATCTTTTCACTTTTTTATTCTTCAATAAATTAAGAATTTGAGTGTTTCAAAGTGATTAAGAGTTTAATATTCTAAATTAAAAATATTGAATTCAAACATTGAGACAAGTGAGGAGAGATTAAGAAAAAAAGAGTGTTATATTCTATTATATAATTTATTATCTAATTTATTAAAAAAAATTTACTATTCGTCTATCCTGTGTTGATGTTATATTTATTGTACCTTTTAAACTTCAATTCACATGAAAATAAAGAAGAAGACATTAATTTAGCGCTCAAGGGATGCTTTTAATTGGACAATTTATAAAAACTAATGTTAAATTTTTATTTTTTCTATATATACTAATGATGAAAATGTGGAATAAAGACACTTTTTAACTTGCACTGCACAAGTTCGAAAAATTTATGAATTTAATTAATATTTTTAATTTTTAACCTAATAACTAATAAAAAAAATCCATGGAAAACTAATAAAATAACAATAATATCTACTAATTTAATAAATCAATTAATTATAACTACAATTTCATAAATTAAAATAAAAACTACTAAGTTTTTTATGGCCACATAGTCCTAAACATATATTATTAATAAAACAATATTCTGACTCACAAGAGTTTAAATAAATTGATACCCAATAACCAAACAACTAACCTTTTAATTTACCAAAATAAAAAGGGAGAAAGAAGAAGAAAAAGAAAGAGAGGGAAGGTTGTATGTTATGGTCACCTCTTAGAAGAGGAACGCAGCAACGAGTCGATGAGAAATGGAGATCAAAAGGTTAAGTGATGTAATTCCGTAGGTAGAGGAGAGGAACTGATATTTATTACCATCTTATTTAGTTGATTTTTTTAGATTAATAGGTTTTCTATTCAAGTCTTATGTTTAAGGCGTTATATTATATGGGCTTCACTCATGCCATTAACAAATGGATTTAACACCAACACATATAATGCAAACGTAGGAAAACATGCAAAACTAACATATAAATTAGAATTCTAACAATCACACAAGTGTTTGACAGATCTTAAACAAAAATTTAAAAAAAAGAGATATTGAAGTTGACAAGCAAATGGGCTTCAAGAGAGCCTAAAATACAACTATGCAGCAGCTTTTTGCTTCTTTGGCATTCGGTAACCACCAACAACACAAGCATGGTCTCGCTCAAAAGGCTCAAGAGTAACCTGTTCGAATGGCTTAAACTGCTCTTGTTGCAGCTTCTTTACTTCGTTCTGGAACACATGCTCAGCAGGCACAGTTGAGTCTATGCAGTTTGCCTGAAACCAAACACTCGGACCAAGTTAAAATCAATTGATCAAACCAACATGGTGCTCCACAGCATAACTACGCAACATAAGAAATTATGAACACAGACCTTGATTGAAATAACAAAATGACCTCCTGCCTTTAGGAAATATGATGCATTCAGAGCCAAAATCCTAGCCTGCAAATAATTTCAAGGATACACACAACTCAAAAAGGTTAGAAGAATCCCAAGCGAGGGAGGGAAGAAAGAGACTTGACATGGTTTGAGTAAGACTTGGAAAAAAGGTTACAAAAGAAATTCAATGTGGCCAAAGAAAACAGATGGGGCCATGCTGCAACCAAAAAACCAAAGACCACAAATGAGAGGTGTACTCAGAACTAACTACCATGAGAGTTAATAAGCTGACTACAATGTCATGCCAATGAATGAAAGTAAAGAAAAATACATGAGGGGATAACTGGCAAGGGATGTTATTTTATTTTACTGTTTACCTAAAAAACCCAGATCCGGGATTAATAAATTAATAATAAATGAAAGCATACACAGCAGTTAATAGCTGTTCAGTTCCATGATAAAGATTTTATGAGAAAGCACTTAGAGAAAAACACCCATGCCACACACAACAGACACAAAAAGAAAGAGAGCATCAGAGACTCGGAGCTGCATCACCCATTATGTCTTGAAGGGGAATCCGAGTAGTTCTTCATATGCAAATTGTCAAAACAGAAGGGTAAACACAAGAAAGAAAAAAAATTACAAATACAAAGAAGACTCAAAAGAAAATAGATAGCATTTGCCAAAAATTAAAAAGAGATGGCTATATAAAGGTTTTACTCAGGATCTAGCTCCCAATAGACAAATGAAAGCAAATAATGAAAAACCTCCTATATATTTATTAGTAATAAATATTAAAATCCTCAAAAAGTAACATGTACCATTTAAATTATAATAATAAATCAAATATCTGAAACCAATTTTGATATTTAAAGTTGGTGCAAATAGCATGCTGAAGTAAAACAGAATTTTAAGAGTCATGATATTGCATCAGAAGCTCATGTTTGCATCACCCATTAAGTCTTGAAGGGGAATCCGAGCAAGATTCATCATATGCAATATAACAAGAGTGCCACAAATTGTTGCATAAAATGAAAGATTAGGTATACTGTTATCCTACTACTAGTCTTGACACAAAACAGAACCGCAGAAGATTAAAGCTACTTACCCCAAAAAACTTAAACCAAGGGGAGCAACAGGTTAATTAAAAGCAAAAAGGTTATTTAATTTTTGCATATATATATATATATAGGTATGAGTATATAGACATTTAACACAATATATACCACTTAAAAATTTCAACTGCAAAATATAAATACAGGTGAACTAGACTAATGCATAGCCCATGTTACCAGCACCCAACTTTCACATCCTTGCAGCCCAATCCAGAACAGAACCATAAACATTGTTAGTTAATCATTTATATGAAAAAGAAAAAGAATGGAAAAAGCAAACCTGATCAGGCTGAGCAACATCTGAAAAAATCACATCCACCATGCCAACTAGCATTCTATACTTGGCTGGATGCCTGGCATCCTCTATGATGGGTATAACATTTGTCCTCTTCTTTGCCATGTTGACCAAGTCTCTTCCACTTCTATGTGAAAACTCCACCGCATATACCACTCCGTTCTGTCAAAACAGCAAAAGAACTAATTAGCACACATTCACAGGACTGGCGGACTAGTTAACTTTATCTTTGACAACAAGTACTTACAGGGCCAACAACATCAGAGACATGGGAGACTGTTGTCCCTGAGGCAGCTCCAAGGTATAAAACTTTTGCGCCAGGTTTCTTCATTTAACAACAATTAAACACATAAATTTTGGATCAGACTTCCAAAAAAATGTAACCCCTGGCATAGCCAACGCATAAAGGGAACTTAAAAGCAAGAAGAAAACAAGACTTACAATCCATATATTGTCAACGCCACCAAGAATTGCAGCTGCCAACTTAGAACGGAAAGGATTCCATATCCTGTACTCCACCTTACTTCCATCTTCGTTCTACAGAGACGAATATTTCAAAAATAAAATCATTTTCAGCACCAGTTTAACAATGAGTTCCGGCATATATTGAAACAAGATATCACATGCTTTAAATTTGGACGCTAAGCAATTCAAAGCATTTAACTTTTTTCTGATAACAGCAATCGAAAACTACATATCAAATCATAACATACAAACCAGAGCTAAATAGAAGATTAACTCAAATATTGTTATAAATAATGAATATAAGAGAAACAAAATAAAAATTATACCTGCACAGAGATCCTCTTCTCGTTGTAGACAGCCTCACCAGGAACCAAATTCTTAGTAACAAGAGCATCTTCTTTGCCCTTAGCAATGAACACTCCCTCGTGTCTGTGGGGCTCAACAACAACCTTGCTCCCACCCTTCATTCCTCCCCTTCCTCCACGGCCACCTCCTCTTCCTCCACCGCGGCCACCACTACGCCCACCTCCACGGGGTTTCATGCCACTCCCACCACCTCTTCCTCTCCCTCTCCCTCCATCACCCCCACCCCTTCCACCTCTGAACCCACCACCGAACCCACCACCACCACCACGCCCTGCATTTGTAACAACCCAAATCAGTCTCGAAAATAACAGAAACCAGAAACCCTTTTTCGTTGTTGGCCTCAATAATGAAGACACAAACCAGAAAAAGGAATAACAAACTTTGATTACCTCTCGGAGGTCTCATCTCTACGGCTGAGGAAGTGAGAGGGTGAAGTGCCTGAAGATTATAGAAAAGAGAAAATAGAGGGCGATAGAACCGTAAGGGGCGGCCTGAATGCCATTATATAGGAAATGAGATTAGGGTTTAGGGTTTTTCCATTTTATTTTATTTTATTTTATTGGGCTAGGGTTTTTCAATTCCAGATGACAACGTCTGTCGGCCTGCTCTGTTAAGCAGGCCCAATCTTTACGGGTTCTTGAGGGATTGGCAGTCCAAGCATGGAAAAAGAATGGGTCTTTTTCACTGCAATAAGTTTAATGCTTTTAAACCTTCACCTTGGACACTTAACACTAACGTCTTTAGCCTCTCACTTAGGAAATATTCCAAAATTAATGTGGAGTTATCATGTGCGTAATGTACCTATTAACATTTTGTTATCTCTTCCCTTATTATTGACACACAAGCTCCCTTACACCAACTAGGCATGTTACTGTAGCTTCCCATGGGTGGGTAATTTATATAATAAACTAAGTGGCCTTCAATTGAACTAAAAACTAAATAAAAAAGGAAACTAATGACAAGACAAAAGACTTTTATTGATATTTGAACTGTTAGACAAATCTTCTTTACTCTTTGTGGCAACTAGAGAATCTAGGCTAAAGACTTGAAGAATCTTCGAAAAGGTTAAAGGGACAATAGCAAGGATGGATTTTCACGGCAATCTCTATGGTTAGACCACAAGCTCAATAGGTATTATTTGTTATTGACAGTTTTGACTTGTCGTAGACTTTGGTCTTCTTAATCAATGAACAACAATATAAAAAAGTATGAATATTATAAGAATTAACATAGATTGAGCTTAATTGAATAGCAATTAATGAAAAAGAGATACCGAAATGTTTAGTAAATTAACTTGCATGACAATGATAAGGAAAGAGATAACAAAGTGTTAATTGTCATGTCAGGTACGCGATAACTTGTTAATTTTGAGCTACATCTTTCAAGTTAAATAGGTAAGAGACTAAAAATGTCAATGTATAAGATGGTGAGCTAAAAGCATTAAACTTATTAAAGTAAAGGACTAAAGGGGGTTGGGTTATTGCCACACCCTATTTCGATAATGCCACGCCTAAAATTATGAACTAACATATTTACCCATCATTCTAAAAATAATATTTTTTTTCTTTCCAAAACTACCTCTTTTTACTTCTCTTAACACTTGTCGTTGTAACCCTTATTCTATTTCATATTTTAATTGCATCGAACACTACCCCACATAGCTTCCTCTCTCTATTCATTTTTTTCAAAGTTATTCTATCTTAATTCATGGTGAACCATCCTTCTTGGGTTAAGTCATGACCATCCTCCTTTGTTTTGTTTTTTTTTTTTCTTCTTCTTTCTTTATACGCACACACACATACACACACATTAAGTTAAACTTTTAAATTCTTTTTATGAGTTTTTTTAATATATATATATATATATACATCGGCATATATATATGGTTAGATTTTTATTTTTTTTGTTAAAGTTATTATTTTACTTTGCAAATTATTTGATACTTTGATTTAATGTAGAATCCCAAGAGATAAATACAAATCATCAAGAGGCTGGAACAATTTGGAGAAAATGAAATGTCTTAATTATTTGGGAAATCATTTGAAACTTGTGATGATCTCCTTCAAAGCACAAAAAGATTTTATTTAAAAAATGGATATGCAACAACCATCAAGAAATGTAAAAAGGATAGATTTGTGCACGATGGATGTGATAAATGAGGTGTCTATCGAAATTGGCAGAACACTCCATTAGAGCTTTGTAAAAGGAAATCATCAAATCAGTTTATAAATTGTCCTTTTGAAGTTGTTGGTAAGAAGTGAAGTGATGGTACTTAGATAATTCAACTTACAAATGATTCTCATAACCATGAAGCATCTAGTGATATGTCTGGTCACCCTAGTTATTGTCATTTTTCAAGAGAACAAATAAGTAGTGTTGAAGAAAGGGCTTCTTTTGGGATATCGATGTAATACATTCTCTCATTATTAAGGCCAAAAAATTTAAGCCTTCATATAGTCTCTAGAAAGGTATACAATTTAATACGCAAGATTTAAGAGGAAAAATTGGGAGGTCATACCATGGTTCAAGCATTACTTGAAGAACTAGGTGAGGGTGAATTGTTCTACAATATAAAGCATAATGAAAATGGCTACTTGCTTGACACATATATTTTGCTCACCCTACTTCAATCATTCTCACAAAAAGTTTTTCATATGTCTTTGTCATGGATTGCACCTACAAAACAAACAAATGTAAGATGCTTTTACTTGATATAATTGAAGTGTCACGCTTCAATACCTCTTTCTATTCTTGCTTTACCCTCATGGAAAAGGAAAGAGAAAAAGATTATGTTTAGACTTTAACAATGTTTAACAAAGTGTTTGGGCCTAATTGTCAACCGTTGGTTACTGTTTCAGATAAGGAATTAGCTTTAATGAATACTATATGAGTTGTTTTTCCAAATGCTACTACCCTTTTGTGTGTGTGGCACATTGAGAAAAATATCTTGTTAAATTACAAGTCTCACTTTGAGGTGTAAGAGGATTGGGATGCTTTTATGTCTTCTTGGAATGGAGTGATAAGATCGTCAAGTGAGACGGATTTTGAGAAAAATTGGAGGTTATTTGAAAAAGTTGTACAAGAAAAGGAGAGAAGTTTTTACTTGCATTGAAAAGACTTGGCTTCTATTTAAGGAGCATTTTGTTGATGCTTGGGCAAAGAAATGTCCACATTTTGAATATTAAATCTTTTCAATAGTTGAAGGAGCATATACTAATCTAAAGGCATATTTGTAAGCAGTGTTGTTAATAGTAGTGGTTATGGCACTATAGTAGCCATAGTGTAATAGCCCATAGCCCATCCACTATAACTATGTTTGTAGTGTAGTGGATTTACAATAATGACCACTTTTTCCATAGCAGATAGCAACTGCTATTAAAGCTATTTAAACATTCAGTGAAAAGTAAAAATAAAAAATAAAAATAAAAAAGAGAGAGCTCAACATCAAATCCCTTTTTTAAGGGTATAATGGTCTTTTAACTTAAATTCTATTAAAAAAAAAAGAAAAATCTTTTTTAACTCTAAATAGAAACAAAACCCTCGTTCACTTCACGTATCTATAGTATGTACTCCCTCACATAAAAGAAGCCAACCCAATCCCTTTCTTCTCTTCTTAAAGAAGCCAAACCAATCACTAATAAAGGAAGTCATTGGTAGCAACCCACTCTATTACAGTGATCCCACGAACACAAAGTCTAGATTTGATGTGACTTAACCTTTGCTTAGGTACTAATCTTTTTTTCCTTTTGTCCTTTTTCAAATTTGTTTGTTCTCTTCTTTGATTATTCTAAGTTCTAATTTCTAAGTTTGAAATCTGAATCCATCTCTCTCTCTCTCTCTCTCTCTCTCTCTCTCTCTCTCTCTCTCTCTCTCTCTCTTCTTTTCTCATTTATTTGTTCAGTTGAATCCATCTCTCTTTCTTTTTCTTTTTTATTCAATTTTTTTATTCTCATTGTCATCTTTCATTATTCTCCAAATTGTTCTCTCAAATTCTGAAGCAATCTCATTTTTTTTTTCCTCGCTGTTTTCACTTTTTTTCTTTAGACATAGACATACACATCCATGTTCCAGTTTTAGACTGTTTTTTTTTTTTTTTCAATTAATTTGTTCTCTTATCTGATGACTTTCTTTACATCATTTATTTGATTTTCATTAATAGTTTATTATTTTTTTCATGGATTAACAAATATGGCATGTGAAAGTGGATCCACAAGTATCTCCTCAAAATAAAAGAAATTAAAAAAAGATATTGGGTGGAAATACAACAAATTAGTAGACCCTAATAACACAAGTCACATGATGAGTAACTTTTGCAACAAAGTTACAACTAGTGGGACAACTAGAGCAAAGCAGCACCAAATAGGGATTAAGGGAGATGTGGTAGCATGTTTTAGTTGCCCACAAATGGTTAGGGATGAGTTGTTTGCAAATCTATAGAAGAAAAATATAAAGAAGGAGATGTTTTCAACTAGTGGTAGTACTTTTGATATTGATGATTTTGGTTTTCGTGATGATGAATAGGAGGTTGAATTAAGAGAATTGCTAAGAGGTTTTCATGGTTTTACTTTATCCATTAGAGAGCCTAAGAACAAGAAGGCTAGGACAACCGAAAGAGCCAAAGGCCCTATAGACTTAATTATGTATCAAAAGCCAGAAGCTATTCTTGAAAAAAGGAAGCTGAAACATGATAAGGGCAAACAATTAAATATGAAAGAGTATGACAAACAAATAAAGCCATTGAAAATTCAATAAACAACCCAATTTTGTTGTGAAAATGGGATTGCATTCAACGTGGCATGTTCAACAAGTTTCAAGAAAATGGTACAAGCAATTGAACAATATGGACCAAATCTCCAACCTCCTAGTTATCATGAACTGAGGATTTCTTGCCTTAATAAGGAATTAGAGCACACAAAGGAGCTGTTGGAGTACCATAAGAGTCAACAGACAAGATATGGGGTCACTTTTATGTTTTATGGATGGATAGATAGGAAACCAAAGAGCATAATTAATTTCTTAGTCAATTCTCTTGCTGGTACAATGTTTATTAAGTCCATTGCTACTTCCTCTTTTGTAAAAATAAGAGAAAAGTTGTTTTGAGTTGATTGATGGTGTGGTGGAAAAGATTGGAGCAAAAAATGTTATTCAACTTATTACAGATAATGGAAGTAATTATGTTGTACCTGGTAAGTCATTTGGCTCTTTGTTATTTTAACTTTGTCTTATATTATTTTGATTTTTTTTCCTTTGCTTCTTCAACAAGAAAAGAATCTTAAGTTTCAATCTATTGTTTGGTGATATCAATTATTTTGAAATAAAATGTGTCTATTACTTTATTTCTTATTTATTTCATCTTATTCTCAATCATCTCTTTCGGCTATTCATATTAATTACAAATAAATTTCTATTAAATACCTTTGTAGAATGAAAATTTAAGGATTCCTATCCTTCTATTTGATCTGGTTGATTTTTTATTTGCATTTGTAGTTAGTTTAATAACTCTGTCAGTCCTATAGTTTGTTTTATATTAACTATGAAATGATTCATTCTAATTCCCTTTTTCGGTTCTATTTCTTTGTTTTTTTTTTTTTTTTTGTAATTTGATATATTTTTTTTCTTTGTCTTATGGTAACTCATGAATTTATTCATTATGATTTTTTTTTCTTATTGGTAAATTAATTTTGATTTTTTTTCTTATAGGTAAATTATTGGAGGAAAAGAGAAAGCATAGTTTTTGGATTCCATATGCTGCATATTGTATTGATCTTATGCTAGAAGATATTAAAAAGATTTCAAAAGTGCAGCAGACAATACAAAGAGCAATGAGTCTTGTTGGATTCATCTACAACCACTTAAATACTCTAAAGTTGATGAGGCGATTCACTAATAACATTGAGTTGGCTAGACATGGGGTGACCAAGTTTGTTGCTACATTTCTTTCATTACAAAATATGTACAAGCAAAAACCAATCTTAGAAAGATGTTTACATATGATGATTGGGCAAAGTCTAAGTTGACTAGAGACTTCAAAAGAGTAAAATCAATGGGTACTGCGATGGTTGCCACATTTCGAAATGGTTTGTTGTATGCTCTTATGGGTCTCCTTATCATTCTTTTGCGACTTGTTGATAGTGAAAAGAAGCCGACTATGCCTTATATTTATGAGGTAATGGGCAAACCAAAAGATACCATCAAGAGATCACTAAATGAGGATGCAAACAAGTACAATGAAATTTTTTATATCATTGATAGAAGATGGGAATGCCAACTTTATTGCCCTCTGCATGCAGTAGCTTGTTACTTAAACCAAACAATCTTTTATAGCACTTCAAACATGGATTTAGAATTGAGACTTACATGTGGATTGATGAAGTGCATTAAAAACATGGAACCTAATATTGAGATACAACTCAAAATATACGAGCAAGTGGCAATTTACAATAGAGCTTAAGGCCATTTTGGTGGAGTTAGCAATTATATCAAGGGCTTCAAAGGCCACTGGTAAGATTTTTTTGAATTTTAAATATGCTTTTGAATTTTAAATTTCTTTTTGTTAGTATTTAAATTAGGAAATTATGATATTTTAAATACTAATCATAATTTTATATTTGTATTTGTAGTTGAATGGTAGACATTGTTTGGGCATTCAGTTCCAAATTTGCGAAAACTTGCCATTACCATTTTGAGCTTGAAATGTAGTGCCTCCAAGTGTGAGTGTAATTGGAGTATTTTTGAGTATATAAGTTTCTAATCTTAGTAATTATTAGTCAATGACTGCTTCAAAACTGATTTTTTATAAAAAAAAAAAAATAGTTACATTTTTTATTTTTTATTTTTTTTGCATTTTCATATTCATTCTAAGAAGAGAAATAGACTTGAGCAGTAAAAGATGCATGATTGGTTTTTATAAAGTACAATCAAGTACTTAAAGCTTGATATGATTTGCGAGATAAGATTGACCCATTAGTTTTAGTGATGTTGATTAAACAATAAGTGGTTGATTGGAGAGATGGACAATAATGAAGATGTTGAAAATGATTTGGTTTTTCCAAATAAAAATTTGACATAAGGAGATGTTGATAGGGCATTAGGACCAGCAAAAATTAGGATTTATACTAAGGGGCAAGTAAGAAAAAATGCTATTCCAACTCCAACCTCTAGAACTCCAATTACAACTTCTAGATCTAAAGTTGTTGAAAAGCTAGCTAATTTAAATTTTGAAAAGTTAGATGAGGAAGAGGAGTTTGAGACAAGTGCTAATGGTAGAGGTGAAAAAGGCCAAGTTGATGATGATGATGATTATGAGGCCGAGCAACAGGAAATGGAAGTTGAAGAGAGTGATTTTGATTATTAGATTTCATGATAAACTTTAGTTTCTTAATTTGTATGAATTGAAACGGTTAGTATTTATGCTTTTTAATTTTGTTATGTTAGGTGAGTTCTATATTTCTAAATATTTTTCATATGAATTTTATTATGAAATGTGCTTGAAATATTATCATATTTTTGTTAATTTTTAGTAGGTTACTTTAAGGCTTTTTATTAGCAGGTATGTCAATTTTTAACCATAATCTATTTAAAAAAATTTTTGTCACTATTTTGTCAATAGCGACCACTATGCTATCATAGCAAATTTTGGCCTTCTTGCTATTTACCACTATCCACTATTGATAACATTGTTTGCAAGTTTCAATTGGTGAGTTTTGTCAAGTAAAAGAGAAGATTTCTCT